GTTCACACGTCGACGCCGTCCTTTTTTTTTCCAGTTTTATTTACAGCCTCACATCTCATGTTGGTCTTACATCCTGTTGTCTCCTCTCCCACATAATAGACAAAATTACATCTACTTTTCCTTGAATGGAGCTTCACATTTTAATCTGAAAACATATTCTCTTCCTCGCTGGTCTCCTTCGGCTGCCGGACTCGCTGTCAAGTCACTGCGTTGGAACAGATTCCGGTCTTTGATGTACCATTGTTGTCAGTGCTAACCAAATCACTACTGTGCATGAAAAGAAGCCCCTCGGGTCTCCGAAAGAGAGAGAGACAGCAGACTTTCCTTTTCACTACCTTTTTTCTGCGAGCCAGATATCCACACAGGTGTCAAGAGTGAAAAGAGGAAAACATGACTGCATGTTTAACGGGGCTTTTGTGTTCCTTAGCTCCACTTTTATTTTCCTGTTTTCGAACAAAAGGAATTTCATTCTTGTCATTTCTTTTTTTCTGTTACGCCGCTTCTTCTTCTTCTTCTTCTTCTTCTGCTCGGAGCCTCTTTGTTGCTACAAGGGATGTGTTTGAAATGTATCTTACAGAATTGAAAGTGTGCATTTTTTTTAGGGTTTTTTTCTTTTCCTCAGTGAGTTCTTTTTTTTTCCTGTTTGTGCTTTTACATCCAACAATAGGACTGAAAAATGGAGATGCCTCAAAAGCCTCCTCAAATTGACATGACCGATTTTACACCTCATTTCACCGCAACCACAACAAACCTGCTATGATACCGCCGCCGCGTCGTCGCCATCCGCTTTAGTCGGCTCTGTGATCCCAGTAGACGTTTTTTTTTTTCCGCTTTTATCTGAGCCCTTCTAACCCCGTTTCCGCTCTGTGTGTTTTTGTTTTTTCCCTCCTCTTTCTTTTTGTTTCTGTCTGTCTGTGTGTGTCCACCTTTTGCTCTCATCCCCGTCCATGACTCGGGGAGGGAGAAGTGATAGTTGCCAGCCAGTGTATTAAATCGTATGGTAATCGCACTGAGAAAAGGGCACACGGTGCAGTTATGTTTCTAATGAGACACGGAGAAGCGGCCTGACCTCTCCAGCTGGTGCGCCGCAGACATTCATCATCCCAAACACATGCTGGATGAAGGGATGAGGAAGATAGAGGAAGAGAGGGAGGGAGGGAGGAAGAGAGAGCACTGCCCTCTATTGAGAGCAACAGAACACTGCGGGTCAGTGAGTTAAGTTGAAAAAGGAGGGAGGAAGAGATTAGAAAAAAAAAAATAATACAGACAATACAGAGTGAGACAGATTGAATAGGGACAGAAGAGGAGTTGTATTGTAGTGTTCAGCACTAAAGCGCTGATTGTTTGCGGCTTCATTGTAAAGCAAGACTGTCTGTTGCAGATAATTGATTTGGCTGTAATTGTACACCATAAGCGTAAACCACATAATCACTGCAGTCACTACTCCTGAGCCCAGCGTGTTATCAGGCAGCAGAGGATGCTGCGGCTTTGTAGTCCTCAGAAATTTGTGTCTGTCGGTCAGAAAGAAAGAAAAAAACGAGTGATGGATGGATGGATGGACTTCAGCGAGGAACTGATCGTCCACAGCACAGGAAGCCCAGAGTGGGGATTTTCAACAAATCTCTTCATATGGGTAACCAAACACAATCTACAGTATTGGTTGTGTGATGTGTTTGCTCTCGGCGCTTCCTCTCTTTTTTTGCTTTTGATGTTTAACTTTAGCTAAAAGGAAATGGATTTCAAAGACCGAGAATGAGCCGAAAATTGCTCGAGTGCACCCTACATGAAAGCACGATTTCAAAAGTGCAAACATTGCTCCTGTAATGTAATTGCTATTTTGCTTCTTTTTTTTTCTCGGTTATATTATCACAACTAATGGTGTGGTAATACTTGTGATTCTGAGTGTATCTGGTGGCTTAGTTGTTGGACTATTTCTCCAGTGGCTGGGATCTGATCTCAACAATGTAAATATAGAAGTGGTGATAATTGTGAGCACATATATGAAGCAGGGACAGTGAGGGAAGATGCAATGAAGATTGATGATGGGAGAAACGTCTGTTCTGATGAGATCTTATGCTTACTTTGGAAAAACTCCACCAGTATTAAATGACAAGGCTAGAGCTACAATATCATTTTCTCAGTGCCTTCAAATCCCAACACAGCTTTCCAACTTGCCAGTCTTGCCCAAGCAGCAAATCTCTGGGGCTGAAAGATGGTGCCAGTGCAGAACTGAAGCTCCTTGAGTGGCCATTGACTCCAAAAGCGAGTCAATCTCCACAGACCCTCATGTGAAAATGCTCGACTTTACAGCAGAAATCAACATGTTTGCAGCCTGGTGCAGCAAATGTTTCTGGTCTCTACAGCTAACTCAACATTTAGATTATGTTAAGGCCTTAAGTTAGACATAATTAGGGATGTGGTGGCCTTGTGTGGTAGGACAGTGTCATGGCCTCAGCTCCAACTCTCTTCTTATTTCTGGATTAGCTCAGAGTTGCATGGAGTCTAGTCTGACTCACCGGATGTAGACTGTGGGTATAAACATGCCGTTAGCCACTCGGTAGCTGGATGTTCTCCCCTCTTTCTACATGTTACGGTTTTCCACTTCGCCACAGAAAACAACGACCACCTCCATGCTAGCATCCTACAAGTTTGGCCGAGGATTTGGAGCGAGGCATCTCTGCTAGTTTTATTTTTTAGCTTGTTGTTTTTTTTTTGTGGTGAATCATCCATTTTAATGACAGCGCTCGCTTCCCTGCATGCAAATGTTCCACCAGAATAATCCCCCCTGACGCTGTTTTGAGGGGACGCTGCTTCACTTAATTCTGCCCAATGCAACTGGGATTGCATTTAAGCAACACAAACAAGGCCAGGCGTCTTCCCCTATAGCTGCATGATAATGAGGTGCTTCATAGCAAGGCTAGGTGGAGTCGGGCGATTCCGAGATGGGGACGGCTGGAGCCACCACGCTGAGCTTTGAAGCCGCTCTTCGGGGAACCTGTGGGTGACGCCACCGAGCGTTCCTCCATCTTCATATGCATTTAGTGGCGAAAAAGATTCAGGAACAGATGAGTCTCAACAGCTGGGCACTGCAGCTTTTTTAGACAATGCATTGGGACTATTTTCAGTCACGGGTTGATGCACATTTGGCGCTCCAGTATTTGAAGCAACAGTACAGCGAGTGTTGCTCTAAAGCGAAATAGCTCACAGCGTCCTTGTTTATCAGAGTGAAGGAATATGTAACCCACTGCAACGACGTGACACAGCGACGTGTCTCTGATCTGTTTTCAACAACAGTGCAGCTCAGTGGCACAAGCTGCATGTCAGTACGATGAACCCACTGCTGGCTTCATGGTTGACAATAAGAGAAATACAAACTTTACATGCAGTCATGCACAAAACCTGTTTGACTTTATCTGCACATTGTTTGGAGCCGTAAAAGCGTGTGTTTCGGGTAAAAAAAACCCACTCAAAGATATTCAACAGTGTGCATAATAACACAAAGCACCACCATCTGTGGCACGCTGCACCTCGCTGTAAAACTCCTCTGGTGCTCAAACAGAATTGTAACTGAGCAGCGCTCGCCGTGCGGCCAGATCCGCACCGATATCCACCTGCGATCGCCCCAAGCCAAAGCTTCTCAATGGTTATTTGGAAACATATTTAGTATAATTCAGAACATTAGCCACTGAAACTGAAAAGGCTTTTCTTTTTTTTTTTCCTGCCTGACCTAGAATTGCTATTCAAGCTTCCAAAAACTGTTCTCCCTCACAGTTTTTTTTTTTTCATACCAGAGTGGATCCTCAAATCTGCACTTTGAAGTGAGGCTAGCAACTGAAGTTCAAACATAAAGGGGAGTTAGGGGAGATTTAAGTGCAGGCTTGGCCAAAATATGTTCAAGGAAAACTCTGGATCTTATCCCTCCCCCTTTCTTCAACACCCTCCTCGTCCTCCTCGTGCTCAGCTGAAGCTCTCTCCAGCGTTGTTTTAATTGCGTGACACCCAAACAACAAATGCTGCTCCGGCTGCAAACAGTAAAACAGTGTCCTCCTTTTTTTTTTTTTTTTTTACACATCTTCTTTGCTGCCTCTTTATTCTCTGACATTATAAAACTGTCTCTGAATTACTTCTACCTTTTGTTTTCATTGTCGTCCGGAGAAACAGTATTCCTGCAATATGAATGTTTATGTCTGAGAGCCACCCCGAGATCCCCGAGTGCGAATTGCATTTCCCCTGACGGTGTGTACTGTATATCTGTGTCTGCTTGTTGCAAGAGGTGTTGCATTGAGTTTCCACTGTGACAAAGAACACCTGAGGGAGAGGCAGCAGCTTGATCAAACCGAGCATTCAGCAAATCAAATAAGTTTGGAGGATATTATTTTGCATTCATTGTTTTTTCTGCTTTGTTTGCATCTCCATCAGCTGAGAGAAAATGATTTGCTTGGCCCCGGCAATCTCTGCGAGAGAGGCTCCATATTGCAAGAGGGGGGGGAAATAAATTGCTTTTTTTTTTTGTGCCATCATCGTGGTTCTGGGTGGATGTGAGAATAAATTTCAATGGTGCCGCGATTAGGTTCATATCAGCTTTTGAGATGAGGGATACGTTGCTTAAATTTTAGGAAACACGGCACATCCCGCGCAACATCTGCATGCAGTGCTGCAGCAGCATCCTCTGCTCGTGCAGTATTTCTGACATGTTTACTGAATGCCTGAATAAAATGTAATTAAATTAATTTCCGTTTTCCGTCACTTGTCCCACTGTTGACACCGATGTGAATCTCTCTACTGTCCTCTGCTCCACTGATCTCCACATTATTCCCTTGTCTTATTTTAGTGTTTCCTTGCCGCTTTCTCATCCCGTCCGGCTCCAGCATTATACAGTCTTGTCCTTTAGGTTGTGCTTTGAAGATGGCTACTTATCTTTCTTCGCCTCCCCACTTGTTCACCCTCCTCTTTTATCTGAATTCACTCCTGACACATGGTTTTCCCATCTCTCCTTGCAGAGTGGAGGCAGTGGGCTACCAGCGAGTGCTGCAGGTGGACCTGGAGGTGAACGGGCTGATGGTGACTCAGGGCGGCCGGGAGGTGACGTGGCAGGTGGAGTATCCGCTGACCCGCACCCTGACCAGCGAGGTGCAGACCCTCATCCGCCTGGCGCCACAGGACCTGGGCGGCATTGTGCCACTAGCCATGGTGAGGAATGAGTTTTGTTTGTACTGTTTAAGCTGGAAATGACAACTTAAGTTCTGCATTTTCAATCGGACCGGGTTTGGTTGTGCACAAGAGATGACCATTTTCTACCAGAGGCCGGTCTGGAGCCATTGCTGAAGTTCAAGCCAGTTATTTGCACAAACAATGAACTGGTCAATGTTTTAATATCACCAGTAGACCATTAAAAACGTAAATGTTGACAGCGTTGCCAATGGTGGCCGACTGCCACTCGCAGCAGCATTTATAAATGTTTTGACATCATCAGCTGGCGTCTATGAGCTGTCACGACCCGGCTCCAGGAAAGACAAAGAGGAGAGGACCACACATGATCAGAGAAACTTCAATTTACTTTAGCCAAACAGTATTCTACCCAAACAAGCTGAATATCTGGGTCATTACTATCAGTACTGTGTAGAAAACACAAGAATCCATACAACTTGATGGAAATCCAGGCCGAGAGAGAGATTTCAGTCAGCTTATAAAGCTGATGAGCAACCAGGTATCAGCCATCAGCTGATGGACTTCCTGTTCTTCTAAGGCAGCCTGACCTCCGGCTAACCAAGACAGCTCCAAACAGGAAGTTCAGGGGCTGTCATAGCTGTAAACTTTGATACAGAGAGGGGCATTGGAAATCACAAAATTGTGTTTTCAAATGCTTTTATGAATGCTGACCGATGATATTAAAGCATCAAACAGCAGAGAAAATGAGACGAACGAGGATCTCTTTGACTTTCGTTTGTGGGGAAACACAAACTGTCTTTTACACTTGGGTGCATTCAGAGTTAACTAGAGGAAGCTTTGAAAACGTGGCTCTCTGGTGGGTCTCTAACCCGCTGAAAAGCAGAACAGTTCTTAGAATAGCCAGCGCTAGTACCAGCCCAAAACTAGCAAGTGGTTTGCTTTGGTGGTGGAAGACGGGGCAACAGAGGTTTACAGCAGAAAAATGCATCGTCCAACAAAAATATTCAACCTGAACTTCTGCACCGGCCAGTCAAAAACATCCTGTCCTCATGGATTCCTTTGTGACACGAGGACTTTATTTCTCTTCAGGGTCATCCCAGATAAAGGTAAAACAGTTATGATAACCTTCCAGAGTTGTAAGAGTCTGCCTGTGAATGCTGTAAAGTCTTCCGCAGTATCTCAGGGCTGTGATTCTGGGATTGATTAGATCTAATGTCTTACCTAAAACAATATTCCCTCAGTAATGCAGCTCTGTATCGCTTTAATGAAGGCAATTTAAGGACAAAGAGAATTTGCAACACTTCATATCTTTCCTGCCCTTCACAATTCACACTCCCCGCATTCTCTCCAAAATCTGATTTTCCCCTGTGAAGATTATGACACACCACATCAGGCAGATAACAAGTCCAGTCAGAACCACTTAGACGCTGTACACTGACACAGCGGCCCGAGACCGGCGGCGGTACAGTAAAAACCGGGCTCAGCTAAATGCATCGGGGTGAGCATAATTAGGATCAGGTCTTGGCTTGAATCAAAAGAGGAGACCCGTGAAGACCCCCCGAGAAAGATAAAGACGAAGGAGCCAGAGAGCTTCTGGTGTGTCTCATTGTTCTGGTCATGCTCTGATACTTCGGTTTGAGAGATAACCGAGTATGAGGTTGTTCACATCCTCGCCGGGTGAACGCTTTAGGACGCGACTCTTTTTAGACGAAGTGCCCCCAATTTTAGGACGTGCAGCAGGACAGTGATCCTAAACATACAGACACGACTGCCAAGTCTGGACTCACGGTCAAACTGTGAAACGCTCTTAACTGCCCGAGTCAGATGACCTAAATACAAGCGAGCGTGTTTTTGCACTCGCTGAGGATGAGACCGAAAGCAAAAACGGATGTCTGGCGAGCACAGACCTCAGGACGTATTGTACCCAAACAGAGCAAACGATCATACATTTAATAGGACGGCTTTGTTATTAACTTGTCAAATGACTGTCTCTCCTTTGACTGCTTCCACACACTTCCTCTGACAAGTGACGATGGATACGAGTGCACCCGAAATAATGATGAGCTCCAGCTAATCCACATTGTTCCACGTTAAAGCCGATGTCCTAAACCCAACACAACACTGTCAGTATAGCATAGGGGTGTAACTGTACATACACTAAATCTATGGGTCTGTATGAACCTCAGATCAGGAGTCACATTTTCCGGACAGCAGAGAAAAAATTTCAACGAGCAAAAGTTTTTTCTTTCATTGTTTCCTTTTTGTTTTGATCATAAGGCCGGCTGCAATCAATAAGAATATTCATAATTATCTTAAATAAACCATTAAAGCCAGCAGTGTGATTTCAAAGTCGCTCCACATAATGCTCCCTGCAAATTGCTTCAGTAAAGGTTTCTTGCCGTGTCTGGTTTTTTGTATCTCGAGGCTGCGAGAAGGGATAAGTAGCTCGACCTCTGTTGCATTTTTGTTTAGTTTTTTTTTTTTGTCCAGGTCCTGTGATGAGCATCTGATCCACCGCTCACTCTCCAGTTCTGACATAGTTCAATAGGAGCCCAAAATTACCCCACATAGCTGATTTAAAAGATGCCCTGCTGCGTAGTATTTGTCTTCACCATAGTCTGACTGAGGTCTACAAGGTTGAGCAGTGGTGAGGACTGAGGTGTAGAGATGATGGATGGATGGATGGATGGATGGATGGATGGATGGATGGATGGATGGATGGATGGATGGATGGATGGATGGATGGATGGTCTGACCGAGCAGCAACCCCTGAGACTGAAAAATGAAATCTAGACAGAAATGGCAAAAACTGCAGTTCCTCGAATAGCCACTGGAGGCAACAAAAGTGAATCAGTCCCCATAGACACCCATGTTAAAAGGCCCAACTTTACAGCAGAAATAAACATGCTTACAGTCTGGTACCAAAAACTATTTTGGTGCCGATAGCTGATATCCGCATTAGTGACAAGCGTACAGGAAGTGAATTTTAATACAGCTCGTCCATTTAAATCTCATTAAGGCTTAAATTTATGCATAATTAAGGGCGTGGCTGCTTTGAGTAACAGTCGTCATTGGACAGCGCCTGGCTTTGAGCCACCACACCGAGCTCCAAATTCGTTCTTTAGGAAACCTACAGTAGCAGAGGGCCAATCTGCATTAGCTAAACACATCTGGTTCCACATTAAATTCTTCACCTTATATCCTCCATACATGTGAATGCAGCCATACTGCAGCAATTCCAGACAAACTCACGTAACATCACACTCCTTGTATCATAATAGTTTTGAACTCTACAAGCAACAGGAAGCTAAAATAGAAAAATAAAAAAGATACAGAGATGCACTGGGTTATACCTCAGAAACAGCATCCATTCTTTTTTTTAAACGAGCTAAACAGTTAAACATAGAGCAATTTAAACACCCACATTATATCATGTCTTCAAGGATGATAGTTTTTGTTACTAGGCAACGCTTCTTTTACTTGTTGGAGTGCAAATACTGTATTATTTATCCAGGGTCTAAGGAAAAATAGCGAACAAACATGTTTCTATTTAAAGTCTGGAGTTTGCTCACAGCGTGAACAGATAGTTTTTTAAATGTACATTTGATAGTGGGCATGAAAGCAGGACAATTAATTCACTGAAAAACAATAGATGGAGTTTCGCCACTATTTTTTCGTCCCAAAGGCTTTTAATTTTTCTTTCTTTGCAAAACACATCAGAGTATTTAGGCACTTTTTTATTTTTTTATTTTTTTAAAAACAGAGATAACAGAAAATACGATGAAATAATCAACATTATTGACCCCGTATAAAAAGCCCGTCCTAATTATTATTTTAACACAAAGCCTGCACTTTTTAATTGACAGTAAGCCGGTTAATACAGCTCTCAGCCTGCCGACTGAGAAGTTAATTGAGTTTGGATTTAAACAGTCCAAATATGGATGAATTGGCGAGTGGCTTCAGATTGCTAATTGTATTATGATAATGACTATGTAAACATGATAAACTGTTGTGTAATTGTTTTTCCCCAAAATGAAGGGACAAATCATTCAGTATGCTGCAAAGAGATAAGAGTAGTTCTATGTTTTTTCTTTTCTTTTCTTTCCTCGCTGATAATGGCCACGTAAAAATCAAATGCCTTTGGGTACTTCATAAACTTTTATTATAGCAATTTGGTGAGGCAGCAGTTCACGGCTGATATATGGTTTCCGTCCAGCTGAGTATCCTTGAGATTTTGACTACTTTTCTCAACAGTTAATGTCTCATTAAAAGTGAAGACATGCTGAAGTTATATTTTACGTGTTGAATAAATAAACGGTGCAACTGTTGAATGCAACTTTTGTGGCGGGGAGGTGGTGGGATATCAACAAGAATTTAATTAAAAAGAAAGAGAAGCAAAAATCAAGAGACAGCCTTCAGTGTGTTATTAGAGCTGCAATAATTATTCCATTAATAATTCAGAAAATGACTCAGCGACTGTTGTGAGAGTTGAATAGTTAGTTATTTCTAATAGCAGAATAATTTTTTTTGGTTTCTTGTCTCTTAGATGTTAGTATTTGATGGTCTCTCTCTCTCTCTCTTTTTTTTTAAAGTACATCATTGATTAATCAAAAAATAATAACTGGCAGATTGTTTGATGTCGTCAATAAATCGTTCTGATGCTTGAATTAGCAGAAAATCAGTTTCATGTTAAGGGATGTTTCCTAAGCTGACGTTTTAAGAGGTTATTTGAAGAACGGCATCGCAGACAAACAGCTGGACATGTCCACAGGTGCTTTTTAACTAACTTAAAATCACTTAATTAAAGGAGCGACCAGGTTTTCTAACATGACTGATCGAATGATGGAGGTGCTTTTTAGGTTGGAGTGTAATCCAAAGAAAGGGATTGCACAAGAAGAACAACCTTCCCTGCCTGTATTTTTTTTTCTATATGACTGCTGAGATCATCTGGAGCTTGTGCAGATATCAGAAATGCACTCAAGTTTTATCTGGAATGAACTGGGAGCCAACGTAGGGAGTGT